CCCCCCCCCCATTTATTCAGGGTAATTGGTTCGCCGAGCTGGTGATGTTATTTGTGGTGCTGGCATCCTCAATGCATTTGTTGATGTAGGCTGACACAGCCATGGCATACTCTTCAGTACTGGTCTTGTTGTCATATGTGACCATGTTCCAGTCAGAGCATTCAAAACAGTCCTGGAGTTTCTCCATGGCCCCCTCAGTCCACACTCTGACCTCCTTCACTGTTGGTTTTGCCCTGATTAGCTGCGGCCTGTATGCAGGAATTAGTATGACAGATAGGTGATCTGTTGACCCAAGGTGGGGTTGGGAGCTGCCCAGAATGCATCTTTAATGTTAGAGTAGGCTAAATCCAGAATGTTTTTTCCCCGAGAAGCAAATTCCACATGTTGGTAGAAATGAGGGACCACAGTCTTTAAGTTAGCGTAGTTAACATCACCAGCAATGATAAAAAATGTCCTCTATGTTAGCAGGTTGAAGCTCATAGATAGTCTGGTATAGAATTTTCATAGCCTCTTTTGTATTAGCGCTTGGGGGGACATATACAGCAGAGATGCTAACCACAGTGAACTCTCTAGGCAGATACAGTAGAACGGTCTGCAGTTAACAGCAAGAAACTCGATGTCTGGAGAGTAGAAGCTGGTGGACGATTTTTACACCAGTTGTTGATGTAAACACAAAGTCCCCCTCCTCTAATTTTACCGCTGAGTTTGCTGTTTCTCTCAGCACTGTATAATGTCCGGTATCGATGAGTGAAGCGAAGACTCTGTCAGGGTGATGGCTCAGGACTTACTAATCTCCTTTTTTGAAGAAAGTTCGAATCAAAGATTATCCATTTTGTTTTCCAGTGAGCGGACATTGGAGAGCAGGAATGATGGGACCGGTGGTCTGTGGGAATTCCTTCTTAGCTTCGCTGTTAGCCTGCATCAGCAGCCCCTCTTTCGTCGCCTAGCACACCACATCCTCTGTTCTTCCTGTGGCCTGCTCCATGAGCCCGCTGTTCTGTTCTCATCCATCCGAAGCACTGCGTTGCTTTTTAAATGGTCAAGAGAGGCTGTATTTAAGAGTCCAGAGAAAACATTTTGTGACTGTAGCTCCAGCAGCATATTTTGTGGAATTGTCAAGAGATATATCGGGCTGCTGCCTACAGGCGCCGCCCCGATGTCCAGAATGTAGCTGAGTGATGTGTAATAGCTCACTAGGCATGATCAATAACAAGTATCAAGGTATCCATAGGCAGAGATGGCAAAAGTACTCACTTTCCGTACTTGAGTAAAAGTACAGATACTTTTGTTAAAAAATACTCTGGTAAAAGTGGAAGTAATTAAACTTCTTTACTCAAGTAAAAGTAACAAAGTACAGGCTTGTAAATTTACTTAAAGTATAAAAGTAAAAATAGAAACCACTTTTTTCATGCCGTTGCCTACATTTTAAATGGATGTCTGCCAATAGGTCTAGATCTCCGTTGTGTTCATTTTCAATCATCATATAAGTATAAATGTTGCAGTGCCTGATGAATCTTGAATGGAAATGTTAAACAAAGCTGTTAAGTTCCTGTTAACAGCTACTACCTTAAGCTGTTATTAGGAGCTGCCTGAAGAAAAGACAATTATTTTTTTATAAAGAGAGTGCAAAACTTAAAATGAAATGAAATGCAAATCTTTAGCTGTGCTTCTTCAAAGACAGTGGGGTGGTGGGCGTGGGGGCAGGGTTATGCTGCAGAGCAATACAAAACCACATCTAGGAGGACCCACGGAACTGAGCAGAGATAAAAAGGCTTTGAATAAGCTAAGTATTTACAGCGGCGGAATAATAATAGACAACAACCAGAACAAAATAAAACACGTGTTAGTGAATAATTAAGCGTTACAGTGACAAAGAGATTTGCAAAATCCAGCAGCCCGACTGGAGCTTACCGAACTGTAGAGCATGCCCTCGCCGTTCATGGCGATGTAGAAGCCGCTCTTCACCCCTTGGATGGCCACCACTCTTAGACCCACGGGAATAAGATTAAACAGGGCTGTCGAGCGGAGCAGTTGCAGTCAAGGCAGGAAGGCAAAAGGAGGCAAAGACAAAGGAGAAACATCAGATACAAAAGGACAGAACAGGACAATTGAGTTTGGTCTTAACTCTTGTAGACTATACAAGCTTTTATTTGTGTTTTTCAAGCGAGCGAAACAAGGATAATGGGAATGCCACAGAAATTGCTAAAACACTTTGGAGATTGTTTTAAAATTGGTTTTGTGTTATCCATCTCTATATAAAAAATCTTGAGATTTATATACAGGAGTTACACCAAAGGAACATACCAATCAATAGTGGCACAATATATGGGTGGCTCAGGTTAATTACACAATAAAATTATTGTTTTAAGAAAATCACCATTGAAGTTCAAGGTTTACCAATGTGTTTTAATTTGTTTACAACAAAAATCACAGACATTTCAATACATTTGTGAAGCGAGAGACATTTCAAAAACATTTCAGTATTTCCATTGCTCCCCATTCTCTCTCTTATCATTAGCTCAGACAAAGAAATAACAATTAAAAGTGTGTAACAGGAATAAAATAGATGATTCCTCTACTACAGTAGAATAGCTGAACAATACAAGCCTTAGAAAACTCCCCCTTTAATTTGAGTACAATTATTTTGTAAGTAGAAAAAAATCCCATGTTGAGAAATAATTGGTTTTAATTGAATTACACGTGGTAAGTGTATTTCTTAATTTTTTTACATTCAGAATTACAACACACACAATCTAATCGCTACTACTGGGATTTTTAAAGTTATTTTAGTCAGTCAGCCTTATCTGAAGCTGTCAAATGACATCACCCTCATTCTTCCAATATATTTATCAACTCTGTGTCGCTGTCAAGCATCAAATTCAGGAAAAGGTTTTTAATATTTGCATAATAACTGCACATGATGGTTGACAAATTCTTGAAGATGCATATTCTAAAAAAGAGACCTAAGAAGAAGCACCCCAAGGTCTTTGCAGCCCTTAAATACAGTGTGGCATTTTGATTAAAGAAATTGTTCAAACCAGGGTAATACTGCACTCTTATTATTACAAATACAGAGATAAAATGATCGAATAGAATGCAATTGCATATGTAGCCGAAAGGCACAAGTGGCTTGGGGAACTTTAGTAGGGATGCACCAATAAAATAGATATGAAACTGTTAAGTTTCGAACTGACTGTAACTTTTAAAATTAGATAGATGCCCATTTTGGAATGAATTTTCTGATGTTCAAGAGATCGAAATGAAGCAAATACATCTGCCCCTATCACGCTCATTTTCACTGTTTGGTATAACGATTGAGGAATACATAAAACAGTCTCATCACTGTCTTAACCATTTTGTCACATTGCCAACAAAAATGTTGATGGTATTTCTTAATTTGTTGGGTAAGGGTGCATATCCACAAGTCCCTTAATGACGGGCTCAGCATAAAGCTAAAGCCAAGAACAGATAGAATATTCTGTCCACGTGTCTGTACAATTATGGTGATTATAAACTTGCCTGGAACTTTATTATTTTGTCAATTATTGACTAAATATTAAGATTTAATTGGAACAAGCACTCCAAGTGAGTTGAAAAAAATCTAACAGATTAGGTGACCTGTGTCAGAAAATATAAATGGTCTGTCATTGAATCATTGAGAGGGGGAGGACTCTAAAGGATCAAGAGAAGAATTGTCAAAGATCCTTTTCTGTCTATGTTTTAACCTTGCGAAATACAAAATTTGACCAATTGTACTGTTGCTTTCAACAATGCATACATGCATACAAATTAAAGGCTGCATTTTTCAAAATGTTTCAGCATTAAATGATGCTTCTGCCTAATGGAAGAAAGAAACCATATCCATGGTTTGATATAGAGGCTGGACAATGATTGTCATTATTTGACTATGTAATCCCTTGTCTGCGCTATGACTTTAAGAGACATTAGCCTGGTGAGGACACACTTTATCCACAGAGAATTCTATGCATTGCTGGAGTGATTGCTTTGCAAGTGCCGATGGGGACTATCAGATAAAACTGGCAAGGAAAAGCAGAGAGGTGCCAACATGGGGTAGTCCTCTGAGCTGATTCAATCTCACTCAATAAGTATTGACATGCTGCTTTTGCCTGCCAATGGTTTAAACTTGCCCTCAGGCTGCTGGAGTACGGGGCGCACTGGCCATTCATAAAGGCCTTTAAATAAGCAGAGTACATCTTTAAATTTACAGTACTTTCTTTGCTTTTATTTTTTTTCCTATTTCCTCGCCTTATACTCCCCATAACCATTAGTTATTTGAATGACTGGCAGAGCCTGTCAAAGGCACCATTCTCAGCATATCTTAGCCAGAAAATACATCAAATATAGTATGCCGAAGGACTATTCTTTAATTTCAGTCCTTGGTTCTCGCAATAATTTATCATCGAAAAACATTTACTGGATTGACTAGAATTTTCGTTCAGCTAGAGTTTAAATGGTCCGGCTTTTCTATTTTCAGACATTAATGGATTTCATTATTACAGCAACATTGACTGCGGAGAAGAGTATCTGATGACTATACTGAAGGTGATTCTTCTTTTTTAATGCCCTGAATGGCATGGGGAGAGGTCTAAATGGCCCTGGGATAGTTAAAAGACTGCAGGGGTGCTTCTGTTATAAAACAAATAAAAGGAGATAACGCAGGTTGAAAGGCATGCAAAGTAAAACTTCCTAGATTACGGCACATCTTCCATTGGAATGGTTATGTTCATTAGGCTGAGAACAACTTCCACGACAGCAGGAATCTCATGAAATGTTAACAGGGATATCCAGTCAAATGTAAAAAAAAAAAAAGAAAGGTGTATTGTTAAAATCCATTCACACTGTGTCTGCAAAAAATATACATATATATATATATATATATATATATGTGTGTGTGTGTTTGTGTGTGTGTTTATGGCGTTAAACTGTGAACTTCTTTGTATGTGGAATATATATGTTTTATAAATGTTTATAAACCTTTAAAAAGACAAAAATTTGAGAGATTATGAACAAATTTTAAAGTTCTGAATATAATCGCTGAATAATAAGAGAAATTATGCTGATTTTGTTTTTTGACTTGCTGAGGAGTTGGGGCGGAATGATGTGAAATCTCATTGAATTATTAGATTTTTTTATTTTTGAGTGTGTGTGTGTTTTTAGGAACAGATAGTACAAAATGTATCTTCCCTCTGTTCCTTTTTGTCCATTTATGTAGAAAAAAAAGGAGATTGTGCAATGACAATGAACAAATAAATAAATGAAATAATAAAAGAAATATCTGGATCTGTTTGATTACAGCAGGAAAAGGGTGCCAACTGTGCCAGCTTTAATTATAATAATAATAATAATAATTCAAATTATCTTAATAAAAGAAGGCACAAACTGCTAAAAGTATATTAAAATAAAAGGGGTGTGTTTGTTGATAACAGACAGAAGGACTATAAAAGCTAAAAATGTATTTAGATGTAGCAAAAAGTCAGATAATTTTAGGCTGAATGAAAACAGAGGTGATCAAGGCAAAACATGCTTGTCAAGGAGTGATGGGAAATTTATGTTACGTAATCCTTTCTTTAGGGTCTTCTTTATTTACACACATTTCTGTTCATATAAAAGGTTCACATAAACCCAGCAAAACCAAGCTTCCTGATACATTTTTTAATTGACTTTCTAAAACATTTTTGGTCATCAGTGTGAAGCGGAGAGTTACAGATTAAGACTGCAGGAGTCTTATTACAAAAGTTATCTTTCAGAACTCTCTGAGTGTCAGTTAATTACTGAGCATGTTCAACTAATTAACTAGTTCTCAAATTTTAACATGACTGTCTGTTTAATTAGATCAATTTGAAAGGTTATGTACAGCTTAGCACGTCATTCTTTCACTACAGCATGCCATCCTAATTTTATATTCCAGAGTTCAAAGCAATGCAAAACACAATACAAATAACTAATTTTGATTATGCTGCACTAATATTTAAGGTTTTAATATTGAGAACAACAACAAAAATGTAGGACTTTTTTAACATAAGGACAATAGTTTGCTTTTGTCTCTGTTATTTATTATTTGCATTAATCCAGTGAAATTTAAAAACATCTTTACGGAAAACAGTAATTTTAAGTAATTTCCCTCTGGGACTATTAAATTATTTCTGATTCTGATTCTGAACAGTTTCAGCAGTTAAGTATTTAAGGTGCTGGACAAAATGATCCATACCCATTTAACTTATTGAAATTTTGTCAGTCACATAATTCCATGTACCGGTATGTCTATGTTGAAATTCATTTGCTTTTCTAGAGGCTAAAAATATCCCTTTTATTTTGGGAAAACAGCTTTGACTGAGTCAGATTGTATAGAACTTGTCCATGAACATCAACATTCCCATGTTGCCACAATTTTTAGTGGATTAAGGGCTGTACTTTAACTGGAATATTGTTATACTTACTGCCAAGAAGACTGTCACATCAGTTTCAAATCTATTTCAACCTCTAACATTATTTCTGTCAAGTTTCTCTAGCTTCTCAATGAGGGGGCGGCGTATTAAGGACAATGTGTGTATAAGTATTTATCCATACATACCGAAAATGTTCCATTTCGTCCCATATGACGAGATCACCCTCTTCCACATCTCTTGTATCCTCCTAAATGCTTTGGGTGGAGGACTATGTTTTGGTAGGTTTGTAAATGTGCTTTAAGCTTTCCAGTTTAAGATGATGAACTGAACGCAGCTTGGTAATAACATTTTATAACCTAACTCTAGTTAAACTACTCAATTACCTTTTTTTTATTGCCTGGAACTGGATTTAATTTAGGAGGGTCAGATTAAACCAAAATGTTGTTTGTGTTACTTTCCATTTCTTATCTTTTTGTTACTTCAGCTGGTTCATCATTTACAATCCTGATGAAAATACACAGAGTTTGTGGTTTGAATGGTTTGAGGATTATGAGTACATCTAGAAGATGTTCCCATCACTTTGTTGTCAAATTTTTTTTTTTAAGCCATTATAGTTCAAAGACTTAACATTTTCATTTCATTTTCGTGGCTGAAAAAAAAAATAAAACTCCATAATTGGATAATTAAATATTTTCCACTTGAACCAACACTGCAAATAGCATCAGCATCAATGAACATAGCCATATGACATGTCTATTTGAGAAAGTTATTATCCCTCCACCACACTTGTCTTAGTGAGGGGGGTCGGTGGAGCGTTTCTTTGTAAAAATAAAATGGTTTTGTGCTTTTCTCAGCACAACCATCCATTGCAGGAATACAGCAAATAATCAAAAAGTAAATTGGGTTCAATCTGAGCTCATGTTGCTCAAAGCATGCAGGCAGCAGGTGCTTCTCCATTTCACCACTTTCCCCAAGCCTATGCCTGGTAATAAATAACTGTATTCCATCTGACAGTGCTGAGGATGCAGCAGGTCAGAGGGTGACGTAGTTCAAGGATGGGGGTAATCTATTATTCTAATAATCCGCCGCGGCAATCAATGGCCCACTGCAAAAAGCTGCATACTGAATCTCCCTGCTCCATTTCTGCATGTCTTTCTTTGCTTTTGTTTATTAGTAGTATTATTCATAGTGCGTTTTTCTGTATATTTTGATGAAAACATTTCATATTTCTATTGCGGCACCTCAGAATTACTGCAGCTCCTTGCATGTCTTCCTTCGGACTGTCTAAGCTCCAAAGCATCTCATATAGAGAATTATTCATTGGACACAAATGGAGAAGGTGGTATTTTTAGTTTGCAACAGCTGAATTATTCATTGCATTCCTCCAGCTACGGGCCAGTGGGACTGCTTAACTAAAGGATTACCTTGAGGTGGGGAAACCCTCCATAATACAATAAAATCCTGCACTAGCCGTGATCTTTAGAACCTAAAATATCAGCATACCTGCACGGACAAAAAAGGATTATGTCGATTTTGCTCACTTTTTATTCTGTAATCGTCTTTGTCCTGAAGACCTTTCTTTGGTGATCTAAGTAGTTTTAACTCAGCAAGCTTTCTCATCGTAAAATATAAAGTGACATTTGACAGCAGAGGTCATTTTATTTCACTGCATGACTGCCGCTATCCTGCAGCTTTGCCTCCAGGTTCCTCCAAGATTGGCAGGATGTTTTAGAGAAGAAAGGTCATGATTAGTTTCCTGACTGGCTTCAGTCCAGACTGGCCGTGTCATCATTATGGCTTTGATGAGCATCCTGTGCTGACATCATAGTATTTCTTACACGGTGCTACATAGGAAGGCTTTTTCAAAGAAAAGGCAAGGACCCCAAGGAGAAAATAACATGCTTAAGTGATTTTTTTTGCTTTTGTAAAAGCTTAAGGGTGACTATACCCCAAGAAACCTTTTCTTGAACGGCTCATTAGGGAGACATTTGGTCTTAAAACACTGGGAATAGGTGGTTCATGGAAAGATGTTTGCGGCTAGACATAAAAGGCTAAAGCAGAGTGCATCCAATTAATACAGAATCATTAATAACATCTGTATTAATTAAAATTAGACATAATAACAAAAAAAAAAGCTCAGTAAATGTTAGACTTTGAAAAGTTGATCCTTGTGAAAATAAAGGGAAACTTCTGAAACCATTGACGAACCATTTGACACATTTTCCTTTCCTGTGATTGCATAACCAGATGCAGAAATGAGGCCATGCTGTGCTGCGAAAATGACTGAACAATTCCCTTCAAAACGCAGCATTTTAGAGGAGAGAATTCATTTGAAAATAGTCCTAAACTCATTTTGGAGAATGTTCTTCTGCCCCACAGGTATTACTTACATAAGAATGATGGGTAAGTGTACAAAATGTGTCAAAATGTTATATAACCAGTTGACTCACAACCGCTGAAACATTTGGAAGCTGCAGCCTCTGAATGCACCACTCACTGTTGTCGCTGTTCTCGTCCTTGCTGCCGTCGATTGTCCCATCCGGCTGCATCTGCAGGTAGAAGCCCTGCTGGCTGAACAGTCTTGTCACAATGCCTTTCAGCTGTGGCTCTGAAACATACAAAGACACACACACCCACACGGGCAACACACACCGCACACATACACAACCACCAGTGGCAAAGCCACGGCAGCAAGCCCAACAAGAATATGTCAGATCAAAAGTCACACCATAATAGAAAACATTTGAATTATAGGACTGTCAGACACAAATATCATTCTGTTATTCAAAATGCTGAAATCATCAAAAAAATGAATCACAAATGGATTTTGAGTATTATTATCTACCACGCATTGCACTGTTTGTGAAAGCCAGCGTTCAGGTAAGAGTGATTTGATCACCTTTACTATATTTATATTTTAGAACCGTTTTAGAGCACTTCCATTATCATTAAGACCCCTGGTGAAGGTGCATGAAAGAGCCTTAAAATATGCTGTCCATCACCTGCAATGTTCATGGCATCAGTTGAAGTTTCTGCCAGCCTCGTTTAGTATACATCACATGTTTTAATCTTTAATTGTTCCTCTGATTGTTGATGTGGGCAATATTGATTGTAAATATGAAAGATATTTATTTTGTTCTTAAAACAAAAAGAATGAATGTACCATGTGTTTTTTTTTATTTGGTTGAATTCATTTAATTTCATTTTTTTTTTTCCAAAGTACAAAAAATCCTAATTTAACGGTTCGATTAAAATTTTTTCATTGTGGACTTGCATCAAAGACATATTTTTCAAGGCTTTTCTACACCAGGAGTCCAACGATGTCATTGTTTAACTACAAGAGAAAAAAAGAAGTAAAAATTTCTAGGTGTAAATATTTTTCATAAAAAAAAACATTACATTTTCATACCAGAAGAATAGACGAGCAATCGCTCCAGGGCTTTTTTCACCTTGACGGAATGAATTACCTAACCTTCAGCTTTCACAATGTAAAAGTAATTAAAAGCGCTAAACATTTTAAGACATACATTTCCGTCTTACCAGCTGTTGAACAGTTTATATCATCTGCCGCATCACTTATCGTAAAAACATGAATGATTGCACACTTTAATAATAATACAACATTCGTGAAAATGCATATATTCTTCAGAGGTTTACTGCAGCTGATAAAGTGAGTAAAAAATTTCTGTTTTATATCATTTTGAGTTGCTTTTAAAATGAAATCTTAAGCATCTGTAGTTACAGAATTAATTTGGCTAATCTGTTTTATTTTTTTACCTGTTTGGTTTTCTTTTTAAACAGTGCATTAACCCTAAACCGACCTCCACCTTGAAGGGTTGGGCTTCTGACAGGTCGTCAGAGTGCTGCTCAGAGCTCTTCACCCCCTCGAAGTGAGCAGGTGGAAAGAAAATTAGCTTAGGGCAACAAAAGCCTTAAGGCCCCTCTGATACCAGGAAAAAAAGAACAGTACAAGTGTATAAAACCATCTTTATCTAAGAGAAAGTGTACAGCTGTAGTCTGCTCCCTTCTCAAAAGCTTTTTGATTCTTGTGTAAAACACAGACCAGTACAACTGTGTAAAAAGAAGAGATTTTGGCTCCTCACAGGGCAGTGAGTGGGAAAAGTATTTTGTTACATTTTTATATAGTGAATGGATTTTTAGTTGTTGATAACCTTATAAAAATATTAGAGCAGCATAAAAATGTTTTTTTTTCTTCCAGTAGTTCTTATGCAGTGACTGGGAATTAATAATTTATAGAAAAAAATAAAATTTAATGAGAGTAGGTGTGTGGTAGAGGAGTCTTTATCGCTATGCAATGTTGTAGTAAATAGCTATGATAACCGCCAAAAGTTGTTTTCCACTGGCATAGCAAATTGGGGCAGCCTTTCACTCAACCTAGACGCTCAACTCTGTTACTTGACCCCCAAATGAGTTTTCTGTGTGTATTGTTTTCAATTCTAATTATTTATGACAAAGAACCACAGTTAAGATAATGAAAAATAAAAAAAACAGCCAAACATAGTAAGTCCCTTGCTCTTGTGTGAAGCAAATATTGTTTATTGTTCTTTTTGAGAACATATCTTTGTTTCTTTGTCTTTGTACAAAACTTTGTGTCCATCAAACAGAAAATACTGTGCACTGGGTGGAAAAATATGTGTCTGTATAGATTAAATACACCAAGTGAAATGATTCAAACCTTTGTACACTCATTATAATGGTTTATTGGTAATTAAAACTGAGATGTATGTGTTTCATAAAATTATATTACTGCAAAAGAAATTTTATACAGATGTTTTAGGTTTGTAAAAAAAATTGTTTAATTCTATGCTCTTAATAGTTGTTTGGGTCTCTGTTTGTATGAATTACTGTATCAATGCGGTGTGGCATGGGGACTACTTTGATAGTGGCACTCAGGTCATCTGCCTTGGTTCTGATGTGTCTCATCTTTGTCTTGACTTTAACTCCTAGATTATGTAAAGGTTTTAAGTATGGTACATTTGTTGGTCAGTCAAGCACACAATGGTCATTGTGCCAGAGTGGGCAGAGGCTAATTCCTGTTGGAAAAGGAATTTAGTATCTTCATAGTATGCCAGCTGGAGTCAGCAGAGGGAAGCATGATTTGCTCCAACATTTCTATATAGTCATCTTAGTGTAATGTGGACCCACACCAGCAGAATAAATGGCCACTGATTGGGATTGTTTGATAGTCCAATTCTTTTTCTCCTTAGCTAATATACAATGTTTCATATGTTGACTCTGGTTATGGGGTGGCTTTATAGAGGAATAAGACATTTGTAGCAGATGATTGGGATTATCTCTATGCCTGGCAGCTCCTGATGCACTGACTCTAGGCTCAGTCCACTCATAGTAAAGCTCTTGAACTGATCTGTCATAAAAATCCTACCATGGTATTGGTTAGTCCTTCTTATTGGACGTTTTTCTATAACACTTTCTTCTTCCACTTAACTTAACTTATAATAACTGGTTGATAACAGACAAATATCTTCAGCAATGAACTTTTGAGGAAAGTCCTTTTTAGAGGATGTCAATGGCTATCTTCTAAACATCTTTTAGATCAGCAGGTTTTCTTAGAAGTATGTCGTCTACTGACACAAAATGAGAGCTAATTTAGAGGCTTAAGAAACCTTTTCAGGTGTTTTGACTTAAATAGCTACATTGGGTATGACACAAGGAGTTTTCAAACCTAAGTTTTTCATTTCATACATTTTAGGTGGACCTGAAATGTTTATTTTTAAGTGTGCATCTATAAATTAACTCTCTAATTTAAGTGTTATATTTCTTTTTACTTTTTCACAATATTTAAATTTCAGTGTACCTGCAGAATGTGTGTTGCAGCTAAGAAAGGTGTTGAGAAAGATGCATTAAACTGAGAACTTACATATTCATTGCCTACTGATCGAAAAAGTTAAAATTCTTAAGTTTCCAGCTGGCCTATCACTATGATCAAGCTAAAGTCACCTGACTCAAATCTTTGGTCTATCATATAAATGTTTAATTTATATCAGAAATGTTACAGTCATTTGATAGACAGTTCATATTGTTTCATATAGCTGACAAAATATCACAAAGCCCCTCAGTGGTTGCTTTGTAAGTGCATTTGCTCTGAAAAAATTAAGTATTTAGTAGGATTTAACAGATATGTTGTAGCTAGATTGTCTTCCAAGGTCACATCAAAAGTGGTAGGACACGCAATGAATTTGGTCAGACTTAAAGTATCCAAAATTATTTAGAAAAAAAAAATATTGTAAGGCTTGATTTCTTAAGAAGGAAAGGCAGGTTAAGTCTGATCCCCATGCAAGAGCAATAACAGATGGGATCTGCATCAAAGCGGATTGCTTCAATAATTACAAGTGTGGGAGATTTATTCATACTCTGAAAAAAAGGGACACGTGAATGGAGAGGGGAACAAGCTGAAAGAGTTAGCTAAGTGGTGACCCAGAGCAAGAGTAGGTTCCCGTCTGCTCAACTGTACAGCATGCCTGACCATCAATTCCCAACTCACCTACCCCTGGGTTAGGACCATCAATTCATAGGACAGGCCCTTCATCATCCATCATGGGCAGGTTGAGGAGAATGAGAGTGTGTGCGCTTGTATGTGTGGGAAAGCACATGGGAGTGTACACATCAGTAAATCACATGTGATAACTATACTTCTATAAATTACAGCAACAGTGCAGCCCAGAGCAATTGCTGACAGCTCATCAGTTCCAGTCATTTAGCAGAGAGCATGCCTACTGTACATATGAATGTGTAGGTGGGTGGGTGGGTGGTTGTGTGTGTGTGAGTGTGTGCAGGTGCAAACGGATTCCTGTAGCTGATGTTTTTGAGTGAGAAATGACTTTAAATGACAACAAACTTAAGGTCATTGTATGAGTATACGGACCATCAGAACAACAATAGGTTGACTTCATACCAATACAGAAAGACAAAGACATTCAGGTACACCGACGAATGGCATCATGACCATGGAATGGTGAATGATCACCTGCTCTGATATCGTATTTAACAATAAAAGACACATTATAGTCATGTCCACCGATGTACACACAGTATAAGTTCGTACTCCACTTACACAGTTGTAACAAACACGTATTTACAGACACATAACGAGGGACAAGGATAAAGACTGAGCCGACACTGACTGGCGGAGAGAATGAGACTGACGGGAAATGAGGAGAGGCAGAAAGAGTGAGAGCAACAGACGACCTGCTGGGGGAGAGCTTGAGCTGGTACGGGTTTGGGGAAAAGGTAAGAAATTAATCTTAAAAACTGTAAGGAAAAGGCCACACAGAGGGAGGAATGAAGAAGAAGAAAATCAGCGAGGGAGAGGGTCGTCGGCTGTCAGACAGGTGTTGAGGCCCCCCCCCCATCCCTTCCATTCCCCTTTTTTTTTCCTCTCACAAACACCCAACCCCTAACCACCCACCCCCCCTCCCTGGCCGAGGAGATCGTCGACATGGGCGCGAGATGGAGTGGAGACGAAGAGAACACAGCAAACACGGATGGAGGCTGAGCTACTGACCTAGCCTGCAGCCCTTATGGGACACCTGTGGAGGTTTCAAGGGTGCATCTTACGAAGGGGGGAGGGGAGGGGGAATAAAAGGAAAAACAAAAGTCTTTTAAACAGGCAGAATTTATCAGTTCTCCAGTATATCTGCTATCATATATGGCAATGCATCAGTGTAAATGTAATGACCATCAAACAGAAAAGACACAGAATATTTGCCTTTCCTGCCTCCCTAATTTAAGCCTCAAATTTGGATCAAAATGAATTACCAACCAGTTTTAATGATACCTAGAAGTTGGATGAATTTGTCCTCTTTATAGTTACTAATAATTCGGGAAATTTGAGGCACCACAGGCATAAATATTGTTTGCTGAGGCTGCTAGACATCATGGTTTAATAATTATGGCTATAAGAGGAGAAAAAGGGGTTGTCTGCCTCTCTTGTCCTCTTACTCTGCCTTAAAAATTGATGTCTGTCTGCCTCATCTCTCGGCAGTCTGTCAACGGGACTGTGAGTGGACCGAACTGTAGCTCATAGCACAACAGAACTATCTGGATGAAGGGGTGGGGGGCTAGAGTGCTGGAGGAAAAGGGAGAGGAGGCGATGGTGACAGGCACGACTCGGCTGTTATCTGTGCACCATGCAGGGCATAAACAATAGGAATCAAAAAGGATGAAGGCTGGACCTCTAAGTTTGTTTTGGGAACAGAGGCGACGGGTACGTCAGTACAGCTCTCAGTGGCAGAGGGCTATTCCTCCCTTCGCTGCAGTAAAACTCCCTCTGCAATAAACATTTACCATTAAAAACATTTAATCTCAAAAGAGCCTTGGTGCACTGCGGTGCAGCTTATCTCCCTACTATACCCCAATCTGCATTAATATTGAATTAGGTCATTTAAAGCAGCTTTTATTCTGTGTCTTGAATTTGCCATTGTACTATTTGGGCTCAGTATTGGTGGCGAGGGTGGGGTGCATGAGAGTGGGTGGGGGTTTATCTGTCTACATGTCTGAGGGTATAAAACCTTAGGTTTTTCTAAGGAATCTGTTGTCTTTAACAGCAATATCATTTTAACATAAGGGATTATTCACAATGGAGTTCTGTCATAATGAAGAACGTCACAGGAGACAGCAAATGCTTTGTATTCAGACAGCTCCTGTGCTGGAAGGACTGACAGATTACAAGAGGGACCTACAGTAATGAAACAGGTGGATTTTTTTGTGTGTGCTAAAAATCAACATTCTCAGCTTAAAGCCCCTAACTGCAGTATAATGTTTCTGCTACTCAAAGAGCCAAAGAGGGGCGGGTTGCGCAGGGGATCTGAATTAAATGGGGGTATTGGGGTTCCCTACATATACACAACACACATCTGCATCTGTAGGAAAGCAATATATTGTCCCCACTGACCTGGTCGCCGCCGAACGGGTCTTTTCTTGCCGCTGCAGAAACGGACTTTGCTGAAGACCCCCAAGAAATGTCTCTCGCAGAGAGAGCGGGGGTCTTTGCTGGGGCTGGGGCGACGCTTTGAGGTGGAGACACGATCGCTGTTGGATTCCCTGGCTTGGCGTTTCTGCCGGATCAGGGAGCTGGCGATAGCAGCCATCTGCCCGAACCCAGTCCGCAAACAGAGAGTCTATAGTCGCCGCCGGCAGCAGGTCGGATCTGGAAGCGTTGTATTCTGGCACAGCGGGGGGAGAAGACGTCGCTCGTTGGTCTCGGTCCGCCGAGAGTTGCTTTTTTTTTTTTTTTTTTAACTAAATGTCATCCTGATTAGAAATGCCTGTGAGTCCCGCGCATCGCTGCATGTCACGCACCGTCTTTGAGGAGACAGCTGCATGGAACTGATCTGAGTTCCGATCGGAGCCAAAAATCAGCAATCTCCGACCATGCAACAAACCGCTGGGGGCCGATATATGAGTGTGGAGAACATGCAACAGTGCTGGGAGGTCGGTGCAGCTGCGTTTTCATCAGAGAGCTTCAGTTTTGCCCGATTCCTGCTCTGCACAGCTGTCCGTCATATGGATCCTAGACGCCTCTTTAATCCTGGCTGTCCATCTAAACCCAAGTAATGCCTCTTCTTGCAAAAAATAAAAAAAAATAATGAAAAGAAACACAAGGATGTCCAAACTTTTTTTTTCCTCCTTGTGTCACATCGTTGCCTCCATGCACAGTGAACAATGAAACCGCCCGCCGCTGGTTCAGACAGAAACACACATATGTGAGCCAACCGGGTTCCGTCGTTGGCACCTCTAAACGCAGTCTTGGGGAAAAATGGAATCGGCAGCAGACTGCAAGGATGCTGCAGCGCAGGGGGGAGAAAATGAAGCGGGGAGCGATTTGTGTCTGAAGAGCAACAATTAGTTTGAAGCAAAGTCTTCTCTGTGTGTTGCAAAAATAATGAAGGTTTTCTTCCCCATTGCGTCCAGAATGAACGCAGTAGGTGTATTACATAGCCGATGACGGGACTCTCTCCCCCTCTCCCACTCTCTCTCCCTCTCTCCCCCTCTCTCTCTCTAACTCTCTTAACGCAATCATACGTGATTAAGGTTCCTATAAGGAATTCAGGTTTTTTTTCACATAGAAAGATTAATTATTTCTCGGTGAAGATGTAGGACTAAATAGCAGGTCAAAATCAAAAAGGTAAAATGTTAAATAAAAAATAAAAGAGTCCCTTAAGAGAACCTGCATTATTTTCAGTCCGTTAATAGGCTAAAGAATCCTGGGCCAGCTAATGATTACCACTTCTCCTAATTTGCCAATCATCATAAGCCTTTCACTAACTCATTCATCTTAGATTTTGCAGAGAGAAAACTATAAGACTCCTTACAATAGATTTGGGTCATTATAAAGCACATTTAGCAAACTGAAGATTAGTTCAATGATATAACACACAAATAGATGCTGCAAATAATAAATGCATCAAATGCCTTACTAAATGAAATGTCATGTCATTTAAAAATCAAAATGTTACAAACCTGCTCCTTAGGTTTAACCATCTCTTTGGTACCTGTCACCCCTCATTTGTGTTTTTTGTTTTTTTTTCAATTTGGCTTTATAACAAAGTTTCTTTTAAAAGTATTCATACCTGAAGCTGAAATCATCAGCATATTTAATTTTTCTTTTAATCTTATATGATTGAACAGAACATAGTAATCGTGATACAGAAAAATTACATTTTTTTTACTATTGGAAAGCTTGCGCCTAACTCTAATTGAAATTAATTTGGTATCAAATGCCTTGAGCAGTCATCAGTTATGTAATCTGAGTCCAGAGAATTAACTTGATGATTGGTTCCTAGCAGGGTTAAGTTATCAAACCATATTTCAAGCAACTATCTCACAGAACATTTCTCAATCAGACATTCAAAAGGTGAAATAATGTACTAAATTCCATCCAAGATGTCCATCCAACTAACAGTGTGGGCAAGGTGAGAATTAACTATAGGCTCACAGTAAATTAAGAGGGGCTGCAGAGATCTACGTTCATCTGGTGGATTCCGTTGATGAGGCAACTGTTGGTTGTGCTCTTCAGAAATGTAGCTGTTATAACAGAATGGTAAGAAGAAAGCAAATGTTGCAACAAAACTATAAGGAGTCATTTTTAAAGTTTGAGTGGTGAATGACAAAATTGCTCTGGTAAAAAAAAAAGACCAAAATTTAACTTTTTGGTCCACATTTAAAATGCATGGTGTGCCAGAGAAATATCTCAGCATTTCACCCTAAACAAGGTGGTGTTAACATGCTGGTGTGAGACTTTAAAAGCCAAATGGAGCTAAATATAGGGTGATCCTGAATCCCAGTCTGTTATTGACTAGAAAAGACTTGAAACTGTAGTAAACCTTTCTCTCTCAGCAAAACTACAACCCCATACAGCTACAAAGGTAGAGCTTAGATCAAAGGATGCACATGTCATGGAGTACACCAAGCAAAGAACACAACAAAAGACATTTCAGAGCTTTTGACAAAACATCCAATTCGGCTAAGCTTGGACAATATTTACTTAGAAGGAAAATATTATATAAATATCAGTCTCAAGATCTGCAGAGCTGTAAGACAAAAACTTTGCAGATTAAAAAAAACATTTTACTTTTATAAAAGTAGAAGTATACTTCACAATTGCTATCTGTACAGAAGAAAAACTAACCATATCTAATGGGCAAACCAAACCCCACCAGTTCAAGGATACCTCAAATACAATACCAAAATTCTCAGATTGAGAATTGCATGTGTATAATATAAGAGCCCCTGCAAACACGTTCTAAATATAAATGCAATTTAGTATAAAATCCTGCAAAATACAGACCAATAAAAAAAACTAATTTCCAGAGTTTGTGGCATCATCTCGTGTTTGTTCTTTCACAGAAGCAAAAAATGGAGGACACACGCAAAAGGACAGCAAGCCCTCCAAAACCCCATGATGAAACAACATGAAACATTTAAAGGGTGACTTTGTTTGACATTGTCTATCCAGACCAAATCCCTTCCAGCGGCAAGATCAGGGCAAAAGATTTTTGATTAATTTCTATAATATTTAAAAGACATTAAATGTTAATAAAAAGCTTGAGCCCTCCTTAGTTTTTCACTTGATTTTAAAGATGTAAGTGATAGCAAAGCAGACAGATAGAAAAAGCTAGATAGAGATACAGAAAGACTGTATCCCTATGAATAAACTATTTCCCTTTCAACATTAATAAATAAACCTGCTGGAAATGCTTAAACTGAGCAATTGGTATCTGAAAAAACATTCTCTCACACGCTTTCTATTATATCACACTGCAGGTTAGAGGGGAAAATAATTATGCCACTGCAGTATAAAGAAATATATCAATAATTAATTCTATAAACAACCTTAATTATTCCTCACTGTGTTCAACAGCGTGATATACAGTGCCTAGACAGGCTGCATTCTGAAGCACAAAGGGAACATCTCAGAAATAAGTGGGACCTTGTCGAGTCTTAGAGCTACATGTGGACATTTATCTTTGTCAAGAAAAGATAAAGTATTCCCTTTCACAAATCTGCTTAGCTTTCTTATTCTAATGTAGACAATTAGTATTTGTTTCCCCGAGAGATTTGAACCACATCATCAAAGTCTTTCAGATCCTTTTTAATGCAGAAAAAATACATATCTTCTTAAACGTATCAATGCTTCATTCTATATTAATTATAATTTCAAATATGCCAAACAAAGAATAAGTAGAAACGTTATTGTTTTTGTTTGGGATTTGGCTGTTAGGATTTTGTAATTAACTAACTCATTAACTAATGAATTCATCCATCAAAAATGTTTTTTTTTTTTTAGAAATGGTATTCTTGGATGGTATTCTTCAGCATTTAACTGAATGAAACAAAATAAGCTTCAGCACACTTGTGGTCTTTTCAATTAGTCCACCAACTAGCTTGTTTTCGTCTGCTGCCATCTTGTGGTTAAAAGAACAAAGCACAGCATGATAAGAAGGGGAAAAAGTACATGTTCCAACTTTTAAGTTTGTCACTTCCGAATGTCCTTGAAATACCTCACAGATTTGTTGACTCACAATAGCTGAAAGAGATTTCATGGCGTAATGTCTGCTGGACTTTCTCACTGGACTTGTAGGAAGCTGAAGTGTTGTAATGTGATAGAATGAAAACAATCCCACTGCTCAGACTGCTTGTTCAACACACTTCAAAAGGCAATATATAAACCATCACATAAAGCACATTTAAAGTAGTCTGTCAGTGCAAAAATGAATCCAAGATTCAAAGCACAATTTTGCAGATAGTTGCTATGCATAAAGCAAACAATGTTGGTTGACCAGACTTTGTTCAAATTAAAATCTAAAATTTGTGCCAAGCCTTTATATATTTTTACCACTTTACTCTGATAACCCTTCCTTCCCTATCCACCTGTGTCTAATGCAATTTCAGTCTGATTACAGCGGTCATGTGAAGGCTGTTGAGGTTTGGTGGTGAACCAAACAGAATTACTAAGACCATGGAACAAACCAAGTGATTAATTATTAAAGCTGTGCAAAGGTTTAAATCAGGGTAAGGTTATAAAATTATATGCTATTCATTGATTATCTCAAAAGACTGTCATAGCCTATGCAGGGAGCATATAAAACATGGCAAAGGTGCTCTGCTCTTTGACTTTACATCACTCTGGACTCATCATCACCAGCTAAAAAATGAGCACAAGAGGAACAAATGCTAAGTACTATTAGAGAATTGCAGCTGGCCACAAGTTCAAGTCAGATGAAAACAATTTAGAATATTTGACAAAACACAAAAGTCTATGTTAGACACTTATTCAATGAGCTTCATCCATTAGCCAAGATGTCATGGGTGAAGAGGCAAATAAATACATATAAAAAGCACCTGTAATTACAGCAAATGAACATGTATTATCTACAGATTACTGACACAGTAAACAAGTCTGAACAGTCTTTGTTGGTTTATCACTACACTGAAAATTTGTTGTTGTAAAATGACAAAAATACCTCATGATAATAAGCTAAGAATTTCGTAAAAGTAAAAAAAAAAAAAAAGATAATAATAATAATAAATAAGAAGTAGTGGTAGTCACAAATAATAAAAAACACAAAAGGAAAACTAAAACAAAAGCCTATTTGAACATATATATGTATATATATATATATATATATATATATATATATATATATATATATATATATGCCAAGTGCATATATGCCACAACCAGGGAGAACAGGTTCAAGTGTTTATGCCATTTCTAGC